TTTTTTTTTTTGTTTTTTTTTTTTTTTGTTTTTTTTTTTTTTTGTTTTTTTTTTTTTTTGTTTTTTTTTTTTTTTGTTTTTTTTTTTTTTTGTTTTTTTTTTTTTTTGTTTTTTTTTTTTTTTGTTTTTTTTTTTTTTTTGGCCCAGTAATAGATAACATTCTTGTATTTCATTCACAATTAAAATTTTGTGATTATTTGTTCGAAGTGTCTGGTTTATATCATATTAAAGTTAACACATCTATTCTAGTGATCCTAAATTGGAAAGGAATTTCCCATCCATATGGTAATTCAGCATCTGGTATGCTGAGCTCCTGCAGTCTGACTCTTAGCACCTTGCATAAGTCATGTACGTGCTAATTTAGATAGACTGGCTTATGTTTAGGGACATCAAGTAATTTTTATTCACAGTAAACTTATTCCTTGTTCCAGAGCTCCTGCCAAGGGTTGAGACAGTTGCTTCAACAATCTAAAAGAAATAATTCAAGTAAGTAGAATTCAAGTGTTTGGACAGCTGAAATAGATTTTATTGATAGCATAACTCTACTGATGCTGTTCAATACCTTCAAAATGATTTGGATAAAGGTGGGAAACCCTGAGGTGAGAAAGTGCTGATGACACCGAGTTGTTCAGGACATTGATGACAGTGGCCAGTTACTGTGAGCTGCAGTAGGAACTGGTAATCCAGAATGAATGGTCAGTAGACAGGTGAATTTGCGGTCAGTGTGAAGGCAGGCAGATGTGGGAGTGCTGTACATCTCTACACTGCTATGGGCAGCGGGCGGAGTGCTGCTGCTTGGGGAATGACACTTCACTAGCCATCAGCTCCAGAGCTCCGTGGTGGTGGGAACAGCAAATACTGGTAAGAAGGGCTAACATGGAAGGAGGAACAAAACAAACAAGCGGGTCGCTGAGCGTGTCACGCATGCTGCTCCCAAAGCTCGAGTGCTGCCTGCAGTCCGAGTCCCCCAGCTCGGGAGCGCGGCACAAGCGGAAAGGTGCAGGGGCAGTGCCCAGCATGCCAGGGAGGGAGCGCGGGGAGGCAGGGTCACTAAACCCACGAGTGCTGCACAGCTGTGAGCAGCAGCCTCGCACGCTCAGCCAAAGCAACAGGGCACCAGGCCAGGGGGAGCTCAGCAGGAGCAAAAGGTGGTGGGTTTGGAGAAGTGCCGCCTATACCTCTGCATCCTTCTTACTCCTGCGGCAGGACTAAGCAGTCTGCTCATCTGACCTGCTCCAGTTCTTAGACCCTTTGAACTGAGTCACAACGAGATACAGCAAACTAGCCTCAAGAATTGCTGTCATCATCCAGTTTTGTGGCTGTGATTTCCTTGTGCATGGGAGAGTGGAAAACTCAGTTTTCCTATTGCTTATTCCATAATTAGTTGGAATAAATTGCTGGAACAAATTCTGCTTATGACACCTCTTTATTAGACCAATTTTCTTAACAAAAGCAGGAGCCAAAAAGTGAAGTGTGTTTATTTTTACCTTTGTGGCTTGCAGAAAGACAGGTTTAGCTGTGCTCTGTGCACCTGTCCTCTCTGGCAGGCTGTGGGCTCACCCCATAGACTTGTGTATGTTGACTGACTGCCACTCCACAATATCTGGTGTAGCCAACAGAAGAAAAGGTGGTTGCCCATTGGAGGTAATGCACAAATGGGAACATGTGGGTAGCCTCCATAATTCACAACAGACACGGTACAGAAAGTGGTAGGAGAGGGCACAGGAGCGATGTACACAAAATTGTTTTGAAAACAACCCAAGTAACTGAGCACCCTCCTCGAATCAGTGCCGTACCAGTTTGGTGCTGGATTAGCCCGAGTCCTGATATGTATGTACATAAAAAGGATATTTGGAAGGAGGGGGTTTGTCCTGGTGCCCTAGATGTGGTTATGTTAGTGCAGAGGTGAAGGAGTGAGCAGCCTGTAGCTTCATGCCCAGCTGCAGGTTAAGTGACTTCAGTGGTGATGTGCCCTTACCTGCAAAAAGGTTGTCATATAAAGTTTAAAAATGTTACTTAATGTATTACAAACTTCTTAAACGCCTGTTCTGATGATTATGTTATCAGAACAGATTTCTTTGGTGGGGGAAAAAAAAAGAGGATTGTTTTATTTTTTTTTTCCATTATAAAAAGCTAGCTTTAGAATTTTACCAACTATCTTTCTATTTTTTTTTTTGTTCTTCTTTTGGGGACCATTACTGAACAAACTGAAGTATTAGATTATCTGCATTGTCATTTTTGCTAACTATAGCATAGAAATCATGAGTCGTATCGATAAGCTGGGAGATGGATTTTTGCTACTGATTAGTGCTTTTGTCTGTAGTCAGAAAAACAAATCTAGTTTTATTTGTTGTATAGTAGTAGTGTAGTATTTTGCACCTTACTGTTTCATAGGTAAACAATGAGCGCACTGAGATCTATGGCTACAACTTCCAATATCACGTGTGTTTGCATTTTAAGTTATTGCATGAGGAACTGATTCATAAATGTACAAGTATTGTAGTCATGGCAGCTATACCAGTATATTAATTTCACTTGCCTACTGACAAGGACCTTGGTTGTATCAAATGCATGCCAAGGAGAAAAAAAAAAAAAAAAAAAAGCCGAAAAGAACTGCCCTGTGGACAGGGACTCCGTGCACACCTCTCTCTTGATGACTACTGTAAGGTCACGTTGCTATTATATAATTTTCACACAAGTATGGTGTTTTCCAGCAGGTAGTTGGTGCGGGTGAGTGGTCATCAGTGAGAAGTGGTTTGGGGTTCCTTAAGAGTTAACAGATTCTGTAATTATCCCCAATCATTCCAAGCTGCAGTAAGTGTAGTGGAAATTAATCACTGACTTCTCAACTAAATAAAAAGAGCACTCCAAGAAATGATCTGTCAAGAAAAACTGTTCTAGCCTCATTGCTTAGAGAAATAATAAGAAATCCGGTCTGTAAGCACACTGTATAAAACCTTGATACACAGTGGATAGTTTCTTATTTTTTCTTAGCTTTCTTAGTTTTCTGTTTTCTTTGGTTTCCAGATAACTACAAGTCTAGTAAGAAAGGCAAGGATAGTCCTTTTTCTTTAACTTTAATAACAATTAATTATAGAGTTCAAAAACTCATTTGATAGTGCAGGCAGTAGAAAATAAATGATAAATTACAAAATTAATAGAACTGCGTCAGTATAGCATGAACAAGAGTAAATAAATACAGCAAGGAATTTGGTGGCAATTCTCCACATTAGAAGAGCTGTTAAATTGTAGAGAACCATGTGGCGTTTCCATTTGCATGTTAGTTTATAGGAAACTGTAAATTCTTCTCTGTTTGTCAGTTTTCCAGCATCTTCCCAGTTCAGAAAGAGATGAGAGTTCACAAAGGACAACTTGTTTTTGTATTGAGAAACTAAGAGGTACTAGATTTCTATAAAGAAAATGTGAAGTCTGGGAAACAAAGAGAAAAAGAGATTAAAAGCATCACCCCTGGTGCAGAGTAACAACATTAAATTCCTCTTTCTCTGGGCTAAAGGGACTGTGCTGCCTAAAGAATGTAAAACTCACACAGACATGAATAATCTGTATTGTGCATCAACCATAATAGGTTTTCTTTAAACCTCACTCAAATGGAAATGAGTAGCATTATTTTTCTTTCTTTATAGAAAATACTATACTGGTTAGTCAGTCACAACCAAGACTCCATTTGTGGAAAGGCGTCTCAGAAGCTTTTACTTGTTTTCTCATTAAGTTTAAGGCTTTTTGTAAAAAACTGTAAAAGAGCGATACTTTCTCTCTTGATAAAAATTAACTCAAAGCTTTCTTCTTCCTGCAAAGTCTGCACAGATTCTCACTGAAACTGTTGCTCTGTTGAAAATCTTTTCACTTGCAGATTAATTGCGAGGGTGCTGTGCTCCCTGCTTTTAATTAGCTCAAGTAACGTGGATACTCAGAGCTGACAAGGCCAGGAGCTGCGTGTGACAGATAGCCGCGTGCCTGGCAACAGGGCACTTGGACAGCAGCTTGATAGGGGGTCTGCACGAAAACCCTGCTGTTGGCGGGTACCCAGAGGACAGGTGAAACTCTCACCCCCACCCCAGCTCAGAGGGCCGTGGGGAGAAATGAGCCTCAAGTGAGAGGTGCTGGCTGAAGCTGTGCACAGCCAATCGAGGCCAGGTGCCGTGTATGGATGCAGTTGACTGAAACTGCAGTGTGGAGCTACAATTTAGTAAAAAACTTCGCAACTCTGCTCAGAACTTCAATGTATATAGTCTAGCAGGTGGTATTAAGAAAAAATCTCATTTCTTCTTGCAGTAAGTTGGTTTATTTTCACCACTTTCCTCCAATCTTCTTGTTTCACAAGTGAGGAACTGTTTTGTCTACGGCCGCCTGGCCACAGCAGCGGCTGGAACACGTGTGTGCTTGCGTGGGGTGTTAATGCACTGGCCTCCGGCTTGGTGGGTGTGTTTTCGGGGTTGTCTCAGGACAGCTCTTAGCTTTTCAGTAGCTCTGCTATCTCAAGATGATTTATTTTCTTCTTATCCATCATCTTTATTGTTTATGTAGGCTGGGACACTGAAACTGTTCCTACTTCTGTAAAATATGCTGCCCTTTCTTCTGCAGATGGAAATGCAATGTAAAATGACATTCTGCCCCAGAGAGCAATGTGTGATGCTGTCCCAGGCAGGCCTGCTTGCTGGGAAGACCCTTTGGGCAGCAGTATTGCTTACTTTGATTCTCTGTTTAATTCTTTGCAGACTGAATTTTGCCTTTGAATGTATATGTACAATTTCTTCCACTGAAGCCAGTTTGGTAGATCCCAAAAGTGACTTGATAGGAAATAATGTGGGCAGTTTAATAGTTAGCATTACTTGAGCGTTTTGCTTTATTTTGGTTCCAAAAACTGTTTATTTGCTTAGTAATGAGTAAAGCAGATAGAGTGCGCAAAGTTCTGACATCCAGGTCTTGCAAGTGTTTCCTACATTTATCTGGGAATGAACAAAACGACATTTTTTTTCCAGGTGATACGAAGAAGTAGCGATGAAGAAAAGTTGCTGTGCTTGGTACGTCAGCGTGCAGGACACCACTGCCAAACTGCTGTCATAGTGATTCTGATTTTGGCCTGGGAAGGGATCCCACATCTCCTGGCTGATACCCTGTACAAGGAACTGACACAGAGCCTCAGAAAGTACGGCTGTCCCACAAGCCGCAGATGTGCGTTAAATGAAGAGTAAGTTCCGTTAATAGCACTAGATGTGTTGTTGTTAGAGTGTCATTCTGCATGAAAGAAACTTGAGAATTGAGCAATGCTAGTACTGCTGACAGTAAATACACAAAAACTTGCTTTAAACTGCAAACCACTAGGTGTCATTTCAGTCTAGAACTTGGTTCCTGGCCTTTCTAGAGCAGGCCATCAGCGATAGCGACGCTGATGC